CTCCTGGTTCTCTTGATATCTATCTGACAATTCCTTCTCTTTCTCCTTTGCCCAATCCTCTTCCAGATCATGGCCTCCAACCATAGGTGTCCCTCATTGTTTGGTCCTGACCTCTCTTCTCTGCTCCTTCTATATTATGTCATTTGTTGATCTCATCAGCTCCCATGGATTTAATTAGCATCTCTATACTGATGTTTCTCAGATCTACCTATCCTGCCTCAAACTCTCTGCTGTCCTCTAATCTTGCATTTCCAATTGCCTTTCAGACATCTTGAACTGGATGTCCATTAGACATTTTAAACTCAATATGTCCAAAGTAGAATTTGTTCTCTTCCCTTCCTCTCCAACCTTTTCTTTTATTACAAAGGGCAAACACCATCCCTCCTAGTCCCTCAAGTTCTCAACCTAGGAATTATCCTGTTTTCCTCACTGTCCTTCACAACATCTCTCAAATACACACCCTTCTCTCCTCTGACACTACCACCCATTATAGTGCCGGCCTTCATACTCAGGGTTGTTATGAGGAAAGAAGGAGACAATATGTGTAAATCACTTAGTAAACCTTAAAGCTGTATATTAATCCATATTACATCATTATCATTAGATTTAAAACAAGCAAGTCTCCACCTGAAAATTCTTCAGTTGTTAAGAAAACAACTCAAGATAATGGAGCAGCTTTTCTTGAAGGAGTGGGTGCGGTGTCATATCAGGTGGCTTAGTTTATCATGGTGTCCAAGTGTCATGTCTACATATCAAACATTCTAAAGCTAATATTCAGACACTTAATACAAAACACAAAGTACAGGGTTATGGAAATAAGTCATGGGGTCACAAAAGGTTAATAGGTTAACAGAAAAAAATTTTAACAGAAACTATTTTAAACACTTCCATGAATAATGCAAAAATCACAGAATCCCAAAGATGGGAGGGACCTGAGTGTCTATTTATTCAAACCCACACTTAAAAACCCAACCCCTGTACAGCAAAAGGACAAGTAGTCATCTGGGCTTCGTTTGGTGGGGCTCCTTGGATGAGGACCCCAATGCCTCCCAAAGGAGCCCATTCCACTCATTAAGCTTTTGGATAATTCTACATTGTCCTCACCTTGGGCCTAAATTCTTCTCTTTGAACTTTCACCCATTGCTCCTACTTCTCCCCTTTGAAGCCAAACAAGACAAGTCCAATCCCAACAATAGAATGTAAGCTCCTTGAGGGCAAGGCCCAAATTTTATTGTCTTCTTATGCTTTTCCCTCCTCCCAGCACAGTATCTGACAAAGTAGGCACCTACTAAAAACATGTTGAATTAAATTGAAAGTGGCAGACAATCCTACAGATACTTGAAGAGAGCTACCACATACCTTCTAAGTCTTCTGCTCTTCAGGGAAAACATACAATTTTTTTTTCTGCAATTCATCCTCAGATAGCATGATCTCTATACCTTTTACCATCCTGGTCTTTCTCCCTGGACACCTTCCAGATTAACTATCTCTTTTTTACTTTGGGGGGGCGGGGGAGGAACTGTTTCTCCCTACCTCACCCAGACTGGAAGTACAATGGCCACTGGTGAGTCTGATCTCATCACCGATCAGCAGGGGAGAATCAACTTCTTGTCTTTCTGATCTGTGCTGGTTCACCTCTCCTTAGGCAGCCTGGTGAGGTCCTGAGAGTTCACCATATTGGTGCCAGGCTTAGTATAAACACCTGGCTTAGCACACTGTAGCTCCAAACTCCTGAGTTCAAGTGATCCACCAGTCTCAGCCTCCCCGGAAGTAGGGATTACAAGAATGTGCCACACCTGGCTTTTTACATCTTTCCTAAAACATGGGGCCCAAGAAGAGAACACAATATTCCAAAATTCTTTAAGTGGCCTGACTAGAGCTGAGTCAGGAGGATTATCATTTGGGGGGGGCACTTTTGCCTTCCTTAATGCAGTCTAATATTATGTCATTGTTGAGACATGTCTGACTTCTTTGTGACCTCAGAAGGGGTTTTCTTGACAAAGGTACTGCAGTGCTTTGCCATTTCCTCCTCCAGCGGATTACAGCAAACAGAGGTTAAGTGACGTGTCCAACATCACACAGCTAGTGAGTGTCTGGAACAGATTTGAACTCAGGTTTTCCTAACTCCAGGCCCAGTTCTCTCTTCACCGAGCCACCTAGCTGCCTTCTAGTATTAGCAGTCTGCTAAAACCTGGAGATCTGTCCCAATTAAACTGTTGTCTAGCCATCCCTCCCCAACTTGCAATCATGGAATCATTTTTTTAAGCCCAAGGGTAAGATGTTTCATTTGTTCTTATTAAATTTCAAAGATTCATAGCTCTAGAGCTGGTGGGAACCGCAGTCCAACTCCCATGATTTCTCTTTCCTGTTTACCTCTTCATGTTCCACTTGAGTGTTGTACTTGAAAGTTAAATTTTCTATTCAGCTCTTTTCATCAAGAATGCTTGAAAGTCCTCTATTTCACTAAATATCCATTTTTTTCCCCTGAAGTATTATACTCAGTTTTGCCAGGTAGGTGATTCTTGGTTTTAATGTCAGCTCCTTTGACCTCTGGAATATCATATTCTAAGCCTTGTGGTCCCTTAATGTAGAAGCTGCTAAATTGTGTGTTATACTGATTGTGTTTCCACAATACTCAAATTGTTTCTTTCTGGCTGCTTGCAATATTTTCTCCTTGATCTGGGAACCCTGGAATTTGGCTACAATATTTCTAGGAATTTTCCTTTAGGGATGTCTTTCAGGCGGTGATCAGTAGATTCTTTCCATTTCTATTTTACCTTCTGGTTCTAGAATATCGGGGCAGTTTTCCTTGATAATTTCTTGAAAGATGATGTCTAGGCTCTTTTTTTGATCATGGCTTTCAGATAGTCCAATGCTTTTTAAATTATCTTTCCTAGATCTGTTTTCCAGGTCAATTGTTTTTCCAATGAGATATTTCACGTTGTCTTCTATTTTTTCATTTTTTGGTTTTGTTTTATAATTTCTTGATTTCTCATTAGCTTCCATTTGCTCCTTTCTAATTTTTAAGGAATTATTTTCTTCATTGAGCTTTTGGACCTCCTTTTCCATTTGGCCAATCCTGCTTCTCCTCATTGGCTTTTTGGACCTCTTTTGCCATTTGGGTTAGTCCATTTATTTTTTGTTTTTTGCTTTTTTGGTGAGGCAATCAAGGGTTAAGTGACTTGCCCAAGGTCACACAGCTAGTAAGTGTCAAGTGTCTGAGGCCAGATTTGAACTCAGGTCCTCCTGACTCCAAGGCCAGAGCTCTATCCACTGCACCACCTAGCTGCCCCAGTCCATTTTTTAGGTCTTATTTTCTTCAGTATTTTTTTGAGTCTCCTTTAGCAAACTGTTAGCTCATTTTTCATGATTTTCTTGCATCACTCTCATTTCTCTTCCCAGTTTCTTCTCTACTTCTCTTATTTGCTTCTCAAAATCCTTTTTGAGCTCTTCCATGGCCTGGGACCAATTCATATTTTTCTTGGAGGCTTTGGATGTAGGAGTTTTGACTTTGTTGTCTTCTTCTGGTTGTATGTTTTGATCTTTTTTGTCACCAAAGTAAGATTCTGTATTTTGAGTTTTGTTTTCTTTTTTTCCCAGCCAATTACTTGACTTTTTAACTCCGTGTTAAGGTAGGGCTCTGCTTCCAGCATGGGGGATGTGCTGTCCCAAGGTTCAGGGTTTTGTGCAGCTGTTTTCAGAGATACTTCTAGGGACCTCTAAATTTTCAGTTCTTCCAAGGTGGTATGATCAAAGGAGAGGTGTTTACTCCTTTCCTGGCCTGTGCTCTGGTCTGTGAGTGACCACAAGCACTCTTTTCTGCCTTGAAACTTGAGGAGGATTCTCTCTTTCCACCATCACCACAAGCTCTACTATGCCAATGCTCCTCCTTACCCCAGGACTGCTACCCAGACATGAGACCCAGATCCAAGCATGGGCAAAGCAAGACAATCCTGCCTCAGTGCCAACAAAGAGATCCCTGAAATTCCCCTCTGATCAGCCACTCAATCCCCCCACCATCTGTGGACCCAGAGTTCTGGAAGCAGCCACCACGGCCACCACTGCCACCCCGAGGTTGTGCCAGGGCTGGGTCTGCACCATGCTCCTCTCTCACCCAGGTCTGACAGACCTTTCTTACTGACCTTCTAAGTTGTCTTTGGTGTTTGTGGGTTGAGAAATCTGGAAACCACCACAGTTGCTAGTGATTCAGTCCCCTGAGGCCTGCTACGGGTTCACTGGGGCCCTCCTGTCTTTGCCTACACATCCCACACTGAACTGCACTCTTCTCCCAGCCTGGTGCCACAGTCCTTTCCCACAAACCATCCAGCTTGTCTTTGGCTGGAAATTTGCCTCACTCTGTCTTTTTGTAGGTTCTGCTGCTCTAGAGTTTGTTTAGAGCCATTTTTTACAGGTATTTGGAGGGATTTGGGGGAGAGCTCAAGCAAGTCACTGCTTTTACTCTGCCATTTTGGCTCCAACCCCCTCTAAAGTCCCTTTTTGCTTTAGATCTATGATCCTATAATTGAATTTATTTTAGATGCTAATTACCTCTCCCTTATTCATGATGTTTTTATTATTCTTAATTTATTTGGGGGGAAATAGGGGAGAGAAAGCAGTTGAGCCTGTGAAGCTTCACCATACTACTCACAGTTTATATACATACATACATACATACACACATACATACAAATGCAGACATGTAGATATACCTCAGAGATATTGCGGGTTTGGTTCCAGACCACCACAATAAAGCAAATATCACACACAAGTCACACAGATTTTTTGGTTTCCCAGTTTATATAAAAGTTATGTTTACACAATACTGTAGTCTATTAAGTGTGCAAGAGTATTGTATCTAGAAAACAATTACATGCCTCAATTTAAAAATGCTTTAGTATTAAAAAAATGTTAGCCCTCATCTGAGTCTTTAGTCAACAGTAATCTTTTTGCTGGTGGAGGGTCTTGCCTCAATGTTGATGGCTTCTGACTGATCAGGGTGGGGATTGCTGAAGGCTGGGGTGGCTGTGACAATTTCTAAAAATAAGACAACAAAGAAGTTTGTCACATTGATTGACTTTTGCTTTCACAAAAGGTTTCCCTGTAACACGTGATACTTTTTGACAGCATTTTACTCACAGTAGAACATCTTTCAAAATTGGAGTCAATCCTCTCAAACCCTACTGCTGCCTTAACTGCTAAGTTTATGCAATATTCCTCAATAGTGTTGTGTCACAAGGAATAGGGAGGCTCAAAGAAAGGGAAAAAGACAGGGGAACTGCTCAGTAGAGGAGTCAGAGCACACACAACATTTATCAATTAAGTTTACCATTTTATATGGGTGTGGTTCATGGAAGCCTCAAACAATTACAATAGTAACATCACTGATTACAAATCACCATAAAAGATATAATAATAATGAAAAAGTTAGAAATATTGGGAGAATTACCAAAATGAAACACAGAGGCACAATGTGAGCACATGCTGTTGGAAAAATGGTGCCAATTGATATAGGGTTGCCAAAAACCTTTGATTTGTAAAAACAAAACAAAACAAAAAACCTGCAATATCTGCAAAGTGTAATAAAGCGAGGCACAATAAAATGATGTATGCCTGTTAATAATAGTAGATTTTATATTATTTTATATTATTATTATATTATTACGTATTTATATAGATCTTTAAGGTTTTGCAAAATACTTTACAAATTTTATCTTATTTGATAGAACAACTCTGGGAGAGAGGTATTATTTTCCCCATTTTACAGATGAGGAAACTGAGGCAGACAGATGTTAAGTGACTTTCCCAAGGTCACACAACTAGCAAGTACCTGGGGCTGGATTTTAACTCATGTCTCTAGGTCCAGGGCTCTATCCATTGTGATACCTAGCTGCCTGGAAAAAATTAGGGGAGAGCTTCTTCAGTCTTGTCCAATTGTACCTAAATCAATACCCACAGGGTACAGAATAGCTCCATCTGAAAGAGGTTTGCTGCAACAAGACAACAGCTAGTCCATTAAGGATGACACCATATATTTAATAAGTAGCTTGTCAGCACCCAGCCCCCACCGGCAACAGGCCATGAAACTAAGAGATGTCCTCAGAGATTGGTTAAGGAAGAGATGTGTTTGATTGTAAGCACGCCAGCACTAGAAGTGTTCACATCCTTTCTAGGGCCATAGTAGAAGGTATTCCTACATTGGACCACAGATTGTACCAGGCAACATCCAAGGCCCCATCCTAATTCTGAGATTCTAAGATGTGTTCTTTCATGATCACATGGTTTCATAACTTGGTTTTACTTTCCCTTACCCCAACAAACTAAAAATTCATGCTGGAATTTGAAGATTACTCAACTTGAGAAAGTTGAAGCATCATGGAAAGAGCATGGGCCTAAATTCACTTCCCACCTCTAACCATGTGACCTTTGGTGAATCATTGAACATCCTTAGGCCTCAGTTTCCTCATCTGTAAAATGAAAGATTTGGGTTAAATGACCTCTGAGGCAGAGGTGTGCTGAAGATAGCACAAACTAGCTTCCAAGGGCCAATTTTAAAAGAATCAATTTTTAAATTTTTAAATCATCAGCTACAAATTAGGGCTTCATTTAATGTTTTGTTGATTTCTAGGCTAGATTAAACTTTAAAATGTGTCCTACATTTTTGGAGAGTTGGTTGTTAAACATTTTCCAGCACGTCCCTGCTTTGAAGTCCCTTTCAGGCCAAGGTCTGTGATCCTTCAAAATTTTACTGTCTAGTTTAACAATCAGAATGTATGTGCACACAGCAAGACAGACTGGAAGAAATAACTTCTTCGTTCTTCAGTTGAAGATCTAAATCCCAGCTATTTTGTTCACAAATCATTAAATACTGATTCCTAGTTGCTAGCAAATGAAAATTGCTATATGCCATGGAAAGATGAAGCTGCTTCTGAAACAAAACCAACCCCTCATCTTCCCATTCCTTTGCTCTTCTAACTCATCTCTGAAAATCTGCTGATACCTGTGTATGCAACCTCCCACCCTCTTGTTTCCCTGATGAACTGTGCTGGCTAATACCATTTTTCAAAAGGTATAAGAAATCAGTGTCCCACTTACCAGGAAATACAACTTTCGAGGAAGGCAAAATCTCACCTTTTTTTACCTGTTTAAAAAAAAATGAAGCACTTAAGAGTGGGGGGGGAAATATCACTATCTGGTCATTCTTCAGTCCTTGATGTTCTATTTTCTTACATTGTCCTATCTGCTCACTAATCTAAGAACCAGTAGTATAAAATAGAGCCACAGATTATCCCCATACCTGGGATAACCCCCAAATTATTTTCTATTGGATACACATTATGATTTTGCCTTGAAAGTTATTTTTCCTCAAGCTCAGTATAAAATTAATATATATATTCTCTCATTAATTTGCATTTCTTTCAATTAGGTAGGGGAGGGATGTTATCTGTCATAAATTGTAACCTCTAACTTAGTGGTCTGGGAGCTGCATGAGGGGCTTTAATACCTTCTATCCCCAATCTCCTCCCTTATACAAAAGTAGGCCTTTGATAATCCCTGTCTCAAAAGAAGAATAGCTCCATCAGCCTGGATTGGACCTACACGAGGTCCTACAGTAATCCTGGTGCACAAAGAGAGACTTTTACTCTTCTACAATTTTAGTGACTGCTGACCTGCAGCATATGTCATTTATAGGGTGTGTTCACAGATGTCCGTATTCTCTTACCTCACTATGAACGAATGGATAAATGAATGGATGAAAAAACATATATTAAACACCACTATTTCCCAGGTGCTAAGTGTTAGGGATAATGCAAAAACAATCCATACTATGGAAACAGCCAGGAAATGTTGTGAAGCCCTGTCTCCAGGCCAGATGAGGAAAAAGCTCACCTATCAGAGCCCAAGTCCAGGAGCAGAGACTAGATTCTGGTGAGAAGAGGTTGAGAGATTGGCTGGAGAGTATAAGTAGTAAAGTTTGGGAATGGCTGGGAAGAATAGAGGTTATTAGTTATAGCTTATAAATTGTTGTAATGTATTTTTTTCATTGACCTGTATAAACTTAAATGATATAATATATGAAAGACCTATATAAAACAGATCCACATGTACTCCACAAAATCCATGTTCGCCATGCAAATATAATCATAAAAGTGATGGCTTGAGATGTAGGCATGACTCCTATGGCTTGGGATATACAGTTATCCCTTCTGCATCAAGACTTTCCTCATCACAGTTTTGATATATCATGGGTCGGCAAAAGAAATTAAATGGGAACTTTGGAGGAGTTTTGGAGAAGCCCCAGACAACATGTGAAGGCCAGCAGATGACAAAGAAAAAGTTTAGAAACTCAGAAATGCATAAATTATATATATAGCATTTTAGAGCATCTTTTAATTTTTTTTTTGTTATCTTTTATGCCATAATAATTCAGACTTCTCTGGTACAAAGGAAGGGCCAAAAAATTTTACACGGATTTTCCAGATCATGGGGGCATCCACACCCCTAACCCCACCCTACCCCCTGTGATATGAAAAGGATAACTGTACTCTTATCAGCAGCAGCATAGGGAATTCCCACCCTGGGGAAATTCACTCCCCCAAAGCAATGGCAATCTGTCCATGGCTTAGTAGATAAATCTTTGATACTCAATTTTTTTTATCCCTGCCCTAAATCTGTGATCTTATGAGTTGCCTGGGGCACATAAAGACTAAGTGATTTTCCCATGGTTACAAGCAGCAGTCTGGTGTTGAGGAAGAGTGCTGAGCTTGGACTCAGCAGGACCTGACTTTGACACTTATCAGTGATGTGACCACGGACAAGTTACTTAACCATTCTGCACCTCAGCTTACTCATCTGCAAAATGGGGATAACAATATCACCCACATTAGGTCTGCTGTAAGGATCAAATGAGATAATACATGTAAAATACTTCACAAACCTTTAAGTGCTATATCAATGGTAGCTATTAATATCATAATTGTCAAAGTCAGAATTTGACTCATACCTTCCTGACTCCAGGATAGTATGCTCGAATAGTAGACAAGTTTCTACTGTGTCTCCTCCCCAGTACTTATCTATCTATGTTACAAATCAGTATATCATCATAAATGTTCATTAGCTTCTCAAAAAAATAAGTCAGTAAAAGATAATATAAACCCAATAACAGTATGCCAGTATATATGGAAAAGAGGTGCAGAATCCCTGAAGGATACAGCGCTAGAACGATAAAGAATCTTAGCGGCCCCCTCATTTTACAGAGGAAGAAACAACAACCTAGAGAAAGAAGGTGACTTGCCCAAGATCACAGAATCACAGAAGTGAGAGTTGACAAGGACCACTCCATGTGCTAGGTATTGTTCATCAGAAGAGTTTGCAATTGTAGGTTGATTTGTTTGTGTTTAGTACTTAAGAACACTGAAGAATAAAACATTACAAAATATTAGACAGTTGGACAAAAGTATTAAATGACATAAACACATTCTAGCTAATAACAAACACTCCTAAGTTCAGACTCAGGGGCTTTAGCAGGAAGTAAATAGACCCATATGTACTCTACAAAGGTCATGCTGACCATGTACATGCAATCATAAAAGTAATGGCTTGGGATACACTCTTTTCATCTGTAGCTCACATTGAAGACATTTACCCTATCCTATAAGAACAGAGTATCAGAGCCATCTCTGTATTCCTCATCTGTAAAATGCAGATAATAATAATTGTAGTACTTAGCTCCCAGGGCTGTTGTGAGCCACAAATGAGATTTTACACACACACATGTGTATGTGTATGTATATATGCAAACCTTAAAGAGCTGAATAAATTCTGTTGTCCTTATTGTTGTTGTTGATCCTTTGTTTTTGAAGAGGACCAGTGACATAACAGATGATGTCTTGACTTGTGTATGAATTGAATTTGAGAGTTAGGCAAAGTCATCAGCCTTACTCTCCCTTCCTGTCATTGAAGTCCGGTGAGGTCCAGAAATCAGATCCTGCCTGACTCAAACTAGCTGTGTGACCATGTGACCCAACCTTTCAGTGCCTAAGTTAACCCTCCAAGACTAATAATTGTGGTTGCTTTGCACTAAATTAAAGGAGTCTCAACCCAGAGAGGTCATTTCAATAAAGAAATCACCCACACATATCCACAAAATGACTATTATCTTCATCGCCACCACCATTATTATCATTTTTGTTCTTAGTTCTATTATTAGCACTATTATTTATTATTATTATTATTATTATTATTATTATTATTATCATAACCTCTGGTAGTACAGTATCTGTCACATAGTAAGCACTGAATTAATGCTTGTTGATTCACTTACTCTGGTGCTAGTGATCTGATTTGGCTGCTTAACTCAGCTTAGCTGAGATCATTTAGCAAATTTAGGGATTTAGTACACAGCCAGGACTGGATGAAATGGAAAATTCCCCCTGTTTGGTGACTGGGGTCCCCTCTTCAAAGAGCCTGTTGTATAAGTTTACTTCCTTCTTTCTGGGCCAACCCATCTAGGTTTGGCCCAGTGGGAAATGTATTCTATCTTTATACTAATAGGAGAAAGTGTATGTCTGTGTAGGGGCCCCACTAGTTTGTGTCTGTAAGAGGGTAGCAGGTGGGACATAGGACAAAAATTGGCTATATTATTAGGGAGAACATTGACTGATGAGAACTGGTCCCTAACCAAGCTCCCTAAGAGCTTGGTGTGATTCTGGAGCTCCTCCTGTCTTTAACCCCCAGGAATAACACCCAGGGAAGAAATCTGTCTTAACCTCTCAGAGAGAGCTCCTTTGAGCTCTCACGTTTGGTAGAAATAGTCCAGAAAGCAGATAATCTAAACATAATATACTAAGTTAGGCATGATATATCACCAACCTGGAGGCCCTGAGCATGGTTTTCCTTTTGTAATGTTCACTAAGTAAATCCCTCCAAAATTCCATAGTTCTTTTGTCTTTTGTTTATACTAAAAATAAGAGAAAATGAAAATGGCTAAATTAAGGCTTATAATCACTAGTATGAAAACATCTCATTAAGCAAAAAAGAAATTGAATCAGAGAAACATGTATTGGTCCCTGAAATCACAAAGGTGGTATCTTCACTACGAAAGTGGAGTAAAAGTAACTATTCAAATATCCAATCAATGTACACAACTTAGAAAGGAAAAAAAAAGAGAACTTTTAAAAATTTGATTTTGTCTTACTAATTGCTTAGATAACTAATTACTTCAAACTATCGACTTTTCCTGCAGAGCTATATACTGTCTTTTTTTTTTTTTGGCAAGGAGCAATGGGTAGAAGAGACAAAGAAGGAAATTTACTCATAACTAATACTAATAGCTAACATTTGTATAGATAGTGCTTTGAGGTGTGCAAATCACTTTACAAACATTTCATTTGATCCTCACAACCCTAATAGGAAGTTTTTTTGTTTGTCTTCTCCCACTTTACAGATGAAGAAACTGAGGCAGACAGTGCTTAAGTGACTTTGCCCTGTGTGGCTCAGCTAGTGTCTGAGGGTGGGATTGAACTGAGGTCTTCCTGATTCCAGGACCAATAATATTTCCACCGTGCCACCTAACAATTATAGCTATTCAAAAGAGGAATGGACTTCTGTTGCCTTAGAAGAGAACGGGGCTTCCCTTTCCCAAAAGTCTTCTGGCATAAGATAGAGAACTACTTGTCAGGGATGTCAGAGAGAGTGTTCTTATTCAGGCACTAGTTATTCTTAATAACCTCAGAGTTTCATTCCAGCTCTGAGATTCTGTATTTTAATAGAAGTCAGTCCCCAGTGAAGATAATCTGCTAACACTCTTGGGAACTTACCAAAAAATAAGAGGCTAGGTATTTCTATAACTGTCTGTCTTTATTATATTTAAATAAGGTTTTCTGTTTTCTTTTGCCTGGAGGAAAATATGTTCAAAAATGAAGTAAAGGCAATAGCAAGGGATTAAGCTCCATTATTCTTGAAGGCAGAGTTTGACATAGCTTTGTACTAGACCAAAATAAGCCATCCTTAGGCTGTTTGGAGGGTCTATTCTGACTACTACAGATATCATGTAACACAGGTTATGGCTACCATGGAGCTATTTGGGTCCTTATGTATGTTTTTTGTTTTTTTTCCTACTCTCTTCCTTTATCAGTCCAA